CCGATTCTGGAGGGGCCGATTCTGGAGGGGCCGATTCTGGAGGGGCGTCAGTGCTCACTTTGGTCCCCACCGACTGAGGACCAGCAAGAGAGTAGAAAGGACAGGTTCATTTATGCTCCAGAAAACCTGCTGTTTAAACTAGAAAAACTGACATCTAAACTTCAGAAAACCTCTAGTCTAACCTCCAGAAACCTTGTTTAAATTCCAGGACACTTTCTTTTAGTTTAAATTTCAGAAAACCTGCCGTTCATGCTCCAGAAAACCTGCCATTTAAACTAGAAAAAGTGACACCTAAGCTCCAGAAAACCTCTCGTCTAACCTCCAGAAACCTTAAATTCCAGGGAACCTTCTTGTTTGAATTCCAGATAATCTTTTAGTTTAAATTTCAGAAAACATTGTTACACGTCGTTTAACCTCAGGAAAACCTGTCCAAGCTACAGAAAACTAGTTGTTTATGCTCCAGAAAACCTCCGGTATTAACTCCAGAACACCTGTCGTCTAACCTCCAGAAACCCTCTCGTTCAACGTCCAAAAAACCTTGTTTAATTTCCTGAAAATTCTTTAGTTTAAATTCCAGAAAATCTTCTCGTTTCTACTCCAGAAAGCCTGTCCTTTAAACCACAAAAAAAACCCCGTTGTTTACGCTTATGAAAACCTTGTTTAACCTCCAGAAAACCTCTCGTCTAACCTCAAGAAACCTCGTTTAAATTCCGGAAAACCTTCTCGTTTCAACCCCAGAAAGTCTGTCCTTTAACCACCAAAAAAACTGTTGTTTACACTCCAGAAAACCTTGTTTAAATTGTAGAAAATCTTTTTCGTTTAAATTCCAGAAAACCTGTCAACTAAGCTCCAGAAAACCCGTCGTTTACACTCCAGAAAACAAGTTGTTTAACCTCCAGAAAACCTGTGCATCAACCTCCAGAAAACCCATCCTTCACGCTCCAGAAAACCTCTCATCTAGGCTCCAGAAAAGTTTGTTTAAATCCGAAAAAACCTATTATTTCCGCTCCAGAAAACCATTTTTAACACAAAAAACCTGTTGTTTAATTTCCAAGTTACCTGTCCTTTGACCTAGAGAAAACCTTTCTTTTAAAGTTTACAAAAAACCTGTCTAAGCTGTCTAAACAAGTCGTTTAAGCTCCAGAAAACCTCTCCATCAACCTCAAGAAAAATTCTTGTTTAAATTCCAGAAAATCTTTTAGTTCAAATTTCAGAAAATTAGTCCTTTAACATCCAAAAAACCTCTCAATGAGCCTCCAGAAAACCTTGTTTAAATCCCAGAAAACCCTGTCATTTCGGCTCCAGAAAACCTTTTTTTACGTTCCAGAAAAACCTGTCGTCTGAGCTCAAGAAAACCTTGTTTAAATTCTAGAAAATCTTTAAGTTCAAATTCCAGAAAACCCATCATCAAACCTCCAGAAAACCTGTCTAAATTCCAGAAAAATGTTTGTTTAACATCCAGTAAACCTTGTTTAAATCCCAGGACACCTGTCATTTCTGCTCCAGAAAAGAAATTTTCTTTTCGCTCCAGAAAATCTGTCGTATACACTTTTCATACAAAGCATGAACTGGAATAATCAGTTTTTTCTTTGGTTTCTAAGTGAAATATAATATTTAAACCAGTCTTCTGGACCGGGGCCGTTTCGGTGGGGTGCCGATGGCGGCCGCTGGCTGTACCTGGGGGGGCGCGTC